ACCGCATTAAGCTTTGAACAAAAAATTAAATGTACCTAATTTTTGGTTGGGCACTCAACCAGTGAACGCGGTGAGGTGCTGTTTTATGCAATTCCTGTCACTGCACCCATGTTGTCAAATAAATTTCTTGTAGACACATGAGCCACCATTGTTCGGTCAGGGAATTTTTGCCCTTTTGTTGCAATTTAGTTTACCCATATCGACAGAAATGAAGCATTCTCAATGTTTTCGTGATAGTTATTTGGAGCCTGTATGGTGCCATGGCTGGTGCGGATTCCTGCAGGCTACACTGTAAACCAAATTGACAAGTCTTGTGTAATATAACCAATCATCTCTTGGTATGTTTACCAACTGATACTTTTCAAACAAGCCGTTGTCTGGTGCATTGCTTGTCAGGTGACAACTACGAGTCAATAGTTACTATGCACACCAACTTCTCAGTATCCAGACCAACTCTACATTTGTTTCAACGTTTGTTTCCTAACCAGTTTTGGAAACTTGTTGCCGCATGGTTATTTAACCGGCGCCTAACTTGTACTGGTCAGCTGGTCAGCATACACATGGTCAGCTGCGCCCGTGACGTCAGACTTGGCGGACCAATCAGCGGTCGCCGTCCGGCCCCGGCGCGGCGGTTTCAAACCGTTCAAACCAGCAGTTGTCGCGCGGCCGCCGTGCAGCATGGATCAGCGACGAGGGCTGTTCCAGCATTTGTGCAGTAAAAAGTGAAATCTGTGAACTGTGGTGTTCGTGCTGTGAGTGAGGCCCGCTCTGGCCTGCGGGACGCACTAATCGTGCCTATACCCGCGGTCGAGACGCCTCCCTTCCCCTGCGCGCGCAATGTAAGTGGGCCAGACCTTTGCATGCACATGTGAGCAGATGTTTTGCGGTCGGTGTTTTTTATATATAAATACATTTATTTGCCTTTAATTCAACTCTTTGTATTTTTAACTTAACTGATGGACATATATGGGCTGTAAAAGCTAATCTGGTTGGCGATCATGCTTTATTCGAATTATCTGCGTGATCGTGCAACTGCCATGATTGTTATGGTCAATGTGGAAATATTCGTCATACGGGCATGTTATACTTCTGGCTTGATGCGATGCACAAAACCATGTTCTTCCACATACGCAGCAGTTCTTGCTTCAAGGACTTATATGCTGACGGTGCACGATAGGTATACCTACCTCATGCATTTACCACATCCATTCGAAAATATGCACTTGGAATTGTCTCCAGTCAATAGTATTAATTACATACTACGTGATGTAGGTACGTGACCGTAATAAATACTAATGATTCCAGAAACTTCCGAATGGATGTGGTGTATGCATTCATCGATTATATAACCCATCAGTATTTCGTTTCTTGTCAGCGCAAGCCTTTGAGTAATAACTGATGCCAGTCATGGTTTTGTGCACCACTTCCAGCCAAAAAATGACCTGTCCGTATAGAAAATATTTCCTGAATCAGTATCGTGGCAATTGAAAACGAACGCGAATCGTAAGTTCTTAAGGTTATCAACGCAAACAAAGCGATTGTAAGGAAGAACAAGTTCGAACTGAGCGTTAGTACACTTACTTGTTGACAATTTGTAAACTAGCAATGCCCAGTCAAAGGCTAGTTCATCAACAAACCAGGGGTTGTTGAACCGACAAGGAAACGGCTATGCCTATCCAGAAGTTGGTAGGTTCACAAGGCCCAGACTAGTACTCAACAAGGTGACGCCTATGCGAATTGGAACCAAACTTGTAGACAAACTGTTAGTTTGTTGGCCAACAAGCCTGGGGTTGGTGAATCGACAAGGTATCGACAAGGTGACGCCTATGCGAATTGGAACCAAACTTGTAGACAAACTGTTAGTTTGCTGGCCAACAAGCCTGGGGTTGGTGAATCGACAAGGTGACGCCTATGCGAATTGGAACCAAACTTGTAACAAGGAGCCAACTTGTAGATTTGGTTTACAGTGTATATATAATTGCAGGTGTGAATTTGTGCAGTGAATCAGTGCAGATTTGTCACCACGACCGGTGCAGATTACCGACTGATTTATGACGTTGGTTGGCTTGAGGTTGGTTGCGTTGCTTCATTCGTTGGTTTGAATAAACATCTTTGTGTTTAAATACTCGTCTGTGTGATACTTTTTTTAAATAAAAATTTCGACGCGTGTCGCAACACGGTGTGTGAAAACGCACAGCATGTATATATGTTACGGGTCATATGCTAACTTGGGCAGTATGCAAACTACCCGGGCAGTATGCAAACTACCCAACAGCCCGGGCAGTATGCATACCGCCCGGGTAGTATGCATACTACCCAACCCCTTGGGCAGTATGCATACCGCCCAAAAGCTTGGGCAGTTTGCATACTGCCCGCTTCTTGTCTTGAAATTGTGTGTTCCATGTCCATTTTAAAAAGTTAATGGCTTAATAAGTATTTGGCCGGTCCCGTAGCTCAGTCGGTGGAGCGTTGGACTCCGCGTGGTGAGAGCACGCGTTCCCGGTTATAACAGTCCGGGTTCGAAGCGTGACGGGCGATTGACGTTTAGCCCTTGCCGGACCTATTGGTCTTCTACATACGCGCCGGCCGAGGGGGGGGGGCGGGTACGACTCCCCCTCGCCGTTTCGCCCCTGGTGGAGCTAGCGCGTCGCGGAAAAAAACGAGCATGTGCGCCGTTACGAGACGCAGAGATTAGTACCCGATTTTAAGGTCCTGGGTCAACCGGTGACCTCTGAAGTCAGGTCAAGTGCCCCAAGGTACGGTTCAGTTTTTGGTAAATACTTTGCAAAAACGGCCGCAGAGCCGCGATTTTGGCAGCATCGTGTTTGCCTCGCTCAGGCGCGTCGAATGATATACTTTTTGTTCGGGTCAGGTCAACTTAGGTGTTGACCTCAGGTCAAGGTCAGCTCAGCACCCTCAGGTCACGAAGTTGGTCGAAAGAGGTCATGTCGCATATCATTCGATTTGGCAGGTCTCCTTGCGTCCATTGGTGGCTTTCCCGACTCGCTAGCTCAATTTGATCGGGAGTTATTGACGAAAAACTAATATGACCTTGATGACGTTATAAATGACGTCACGCAAGGTCAACATTGCAAAAGTGACGCATCTAACCTTGCAAGGAGTGCGTGTGCGAGTGCGACCCAAAAATGCGGTTGGTGTCAAAAGATCCGGCTTGAATCAAAGGTCAGGTATGCCAAGTTTCAGCTCTCTATCGCCAGCGTGTTCGGAGCTAGCTTGAAAAAGCCCTATGGGGGGGGGGGGGGCGGCACCCCTCGGCCGGCGAGGGTTAATGAGCCTCCTTACAGGTGTGATTGCGGTTTGTAGCAGGCCGTAGCCAAGCGAAGTCAGTGAGAGGACCGGCCGTGCGCGGCTCTGTGCGCACTTTAAACTTTGGACTCCAAATTCTGCCATAGAACCGGCATTGCGCAATCGGAGGGTAGAGGGCAGGGTTACCGCAACAAGCTTCGCTTAGCGGGGGTTCTGTCCCTGTGAATCCTTCTATTCAAAAGGTTTGGACTAAATTTTAACAAAAGTAACGTAGTTCAATCGCGAAGTCTTTCTTGCCTTCAAACATGATTTATCGATCGAAGGGTGAAAATTTATCTATCGAAGATCGAAGGTGTTCAGTTCGACGATAAGGAGCGGCTGTTGTTAAACAACATGACCTTTTCATGTCAGGTCATGACCTTGACCTCAGGTCAAATTTTGAACTTATGGGAGAGGGCTGAACTTAAATTAAGAAAGCGCTTAAAGAGCTATCGAATGCGTCTTTCTGCGGCGCTGTAGCTCTACTATCCTCCGAGTAGGTATAGTTATGCGTGAATTTATAAAAAAAAAATTAAAAAGACGAAATTTGATCTTTGATAAGCTCTGTTGCCCTATTCTTTGACCTGACCTTAAAAATGACTAGGGCACTTTCGTCATGCTCTTTGACGCTATTTCGAATGCCGGTTACCGCATCTTACATGCCGCTTACTTCTGTTCCGCTCAGTGGCACGGGAGTCGAGCAGGGGTGTTCAACCCCCCCCCCCCCCAGCCCGGCACGACTGGCGCCGAGCACCGCCCCGGCGCGGGTTAAAGCGTCTGTCATTGACATGTAATGTGAGATATTGCATTAACTAGTCTCACGGGCCACGGTCAGCATATTGCCCGAGTAAACATCTTGCCCGTGAGAGAAAAGGCGGGTAGTATGCATACTACCCGGGCAGTATGCAAACTGCCCGGGCGGTATGCATACTGCCCAAGGGGTCGGGTAGTATGCATACTACCCGGGCGGTATGCATACTGCCCGGGCTGTTGGGTAGTTTGCATACTACCCGGGTAGTTTGCATACTGCCCAAGTTAGCATATGACCCGTAACATATATACTGTAAAACATATTTGCACGTTTCGAGTCATCCTGGCAAATCTCACTAACCAAATGCGTGTAAACTTTGTATTTACACACTGCATCCCGAAGTTTATAACGCATTTGGCTAATAATATTTGCCTGGATAACATGTGCACGTTGTGCAACTCTCGGCAGAAGCTTGTGAAGCTTACTCACATTTTGCGTGTAAGCGTGTTTCTTCTGTGTGTGTTATGTAACACCGAAGTTAGTTATCCTGCAACTAGGCGATGCCTAGTTGCATGATAACTAACTTCGGTGTTACATAACACGCACAAAAGGAAACACGCTTACACGCAAAATGCTAGTAAGCTTCACACGCTTTTGCCTAGTGAGATTTGCCAGGATAACTAACTTTTTAGTTACTCTACACGCATAATATTAGTACATTGACAGGTAGATATTAGTTAAGTAACACGGTCACACGCAAAAGGCGTGTAGGTCAACACCACGTCGAAAACTAATGTCTTAGTTTCATAACACGTTTTTTCTTAAAAGCGTGTTATATAAAACACGTTTGACCAGTAGATGCGTGTAAACTTTACACGCTTTAGGTTAGTGAGATTTGCCATGATAACACGGAAGTTAGTTAACATTTTTTACAGTGTGAGGAGAATTTGGTGTGCACACTGGTGTGGATACCAGGTCACAATGGCATTGTGGGGAATGTGCGAGCCGATTACTGGGCTGGGAAAGCACATGACAAACCAGATATTACTAGGGTGGCAGTAGGGCACCAGGAATATACACCAGAAGTGCGCCGATGTGTGCGACATCAATTTGCGACTCTGTGGCAGGAGTTTCGACAAACCCATCTGAAGATAATCAAGCCTACCATTGGTCAGTGGATGTCTAGCAAACGGGGCAATCGTAAGGAAGAGGTAGTGCTGTGTCGCTTGAGGCTAGGCCATACACTCCTCACGCATTCGTATGTTATTGACCGTGCTCCTCCGCCGCTATGTAACTGCTGCAGGTGTATTATCGATGTTAAGCATGTACTGCTCGATTGTCCACGATATCAAGCGAAGCGACAGCCCCTGCGACAGATGTGTAGAGATGGTGGTGTTCCCTTCACTGTGACAACTTTACTCGGCGATAATGACCCTACAATTCTCGACGGAGTGTTTTGTTTTCTGAGAGAGTGCGAGTTGATGGACAGGCTTTAGTCTGACAGATGACTCAGCTGTTTTTCCAAACAGTGCATATACACCATGGCACTGCGACAAATGGTGTCGATACTACTCACCCACGATTGACATTGCCTATGATTGTACCAGTGACATGGTTTGTCTAAGTGTGGTGACATGTCACGTCTCGCTCCGAGACGATGTTGCTTACCGTGCATGAGTGTATGGACGTGATGACTGTGTAACTACGGTGCCATGATATTGTCCGATACAACTAACCAATTTAAGTTCTTCTTATGAAGTAGTAAGACACTGTAGTTAGATCTCAGTAGCTAACTTAGTTTTTTTTCTCATTGCAGAGCGCTGGTTCTAACGCCTTCCTCACTGCTTATTTGACGAAAGTAGTTCAGGTTATTTAACCATTATCTAAGTTTGACCTTCTATCATTTCCACGCTAATTCCTCCCCACGCTATTTCCACACCTCTTGTGTCTCCTTGTCCCTGCCTAAACTATGCTTAGTACCGCTTAGTACCGATTCCAACAATATCGAACGACGAATTGAAGACCGAAACAAGTCTGCGAAGTTGGACGCTTGAGCCTGACGGCTACGCGCCCTAATCCACGAAGAAGAAGAAGAAGGGAGAGGTGGGGCAGGAAAATTGCGATCGAGCAGCCACTGCACTGGGACGTGGATTGGTATTATCTAACCGCAGTACGTCAGTACGTCCCGGGCGGCCGGCGAGGTCGGGTCGGGCCCCGGAGCTCCGGTATGTTTGACAGGTCGGCGGCCGCGCGCGGTCAGAGTGGCGGTCGAGTAGTAGACCCTGTGCGGGCGCGCTACGGCCCGTGGCCAGAGTAAGTGAACGGTCATCCAGCCGCGAAATGTGATTCTGCGCTTGCTGTGACGCGGTGCATTTTGTGCTTTGCTGTTGTGAGACGCAATGATGGACTCTGCGTCTGCACTCAGCGATTCAGACGACACTGCGTTTCAGCTGGCTTGTGCCAGCCCCGGTCCTACGGTCCGTAAGCGGCAGCGTTCTGTTGGGGACATGTTTCGTCGCATGGATCAGAAGAAACAGAGATACGTCTCTCTTAAAGGAAAAGAGCAAGTAATTAAAGACGCGGAGTTTTTGGAAGACATCAAAGCAATGATGAAAAGTTGCATCGAGGAAAGTAACGAAAAGTTGTGGCAGAAAATGGAAAACAAGATCTCGTCGTACGAAAACAGGCAGGGTTTGGTGTTTGCATATTTGTCCATGAACAGTTTGTGAACAATGTAATGTTTGTTTGTTTGTTTATTTGATAGTTTACGAATTTTGGCATTCAAGGTCACATGTTCACCAACGATTCTCTGTTCACGAACAGTTCGTGAACGTTCATGAACGTTCATGAACAAGTCATCATTTTTGATATCTTCCGAGCAATTGTTATCATACGATGCAGACATGACTGCAGGCAACATATGTTTTACATGTGAAAAATGCACCAGTTATATCTCAATCACAGGGAATCGTGATTCATAACTATTCTTGCAACGCTGAGGCTTAAGTTGTGCATTTCAGACCTTGCATGACGTCATGTAAGACGCCACTAAGGTTGTTAGATGCAGTAGGAGCTTTTCGCTAATAACTTCCGATCAAATTGAACTAGCGAGTCGGTTGAGCCATCAATTGACTCAGAAAGAACTGCCACATCGAATGATATGCAGCATGACATCCTCCATGCAGCCTTATGACCCGAGTGGCTTTGACCTGACCTTGACTTGAGGTCAACATCCTAAAAAGACCTAATCCAAACAAAAAGTATATCATTCGAAGCGCCTGGCCACGACGAGCACGATGGTGCCACAATCGCGGCTCTGCCACTATTTGTGGCGAAGTTATTTACCAAAAATCAAACCCCTACTTTGTGACACTTGACCTGACCTCAGGGATCACCGGTTGGTGTAAGACCTTGAAATCGGATACCAATCGCTGTGGTTCGTAATGACGCACACGCTGGCTTTTTCCGCAAGGTTCTATCTCAATTAGTAGCGAAACGGCTAAGGAGGGGGTCTTATCTACCCCATCTTTACCACAGGGGCAGTTGGGGGGGGGGGGGGGGGGGGGGCGAGCCTAAAATGCCTGACATGATGCATAAGAAACAGTGGCGTAGCTAGGGGTCTAAGGGGACACGTACCACCCCCCCCCCCCATCGGGATAAAAGGGACCCTCGGGTCCGAGGGGCCCTGCGGCGCCATTTGACCGCTGAGGGTTAACGATGGCCATATTTCTACTCAGAAGGGCCCCATGGGGCTCGTTAGAGCACCTCATGGGCTCTAAATAGCCACACTAAGATCTCCATAAGGGCCCAACGCCGGCTTCTGAGGGCCACTTGCGGCTTTTAAGGGCACCTCGGTGGTCTCCAAAGGCCCGTTACTGGCCTCTGAGAGGTCTTACCGCCCTATGAGGGGCCAGTTCTAGGGGCATTTCCCGCCTGTGATGGTCCCACACTTATTTTTCTGAAGGCCCCATAACGGCAACTGTGGGGCCCTGGTCGGCGCCTATGAGGGCCCACACCGGTGTCTCTGAGGGTTTCACACCCCCAACTCTGAGTGCCTACACCAGTGCCTATTAAAGCCCTATATCGGCGGCTCTGAAGACCCAACCAACACCTGCGCATCTAAAGGCCACCCACTGGTGACTTTTGAGGGCCCCACACCGGTGACTCTGAGGGCCCCACCGGCGTCTGACAGTACCATGCCGGCAGTGGCGTCACCACGGGGAGGGGGGGGGGGCAAGCGGGGCAACATGCCCCCCAACCTCCAAATGGGCACCCTCTGAGATCGATGCAGATCCGAGGAGATTTTGGGATCGAAAAATGGGGGTACCTTCAGAGAAACACTCGCAATGAACATGCGGCGCAGCCTCTACTCCGAATGAGCTCAGCCTAGCATCGGTACAAAGCCGCGCCGCGCCGCCTGCCGGTCACCTTTAGGCCAGTTTCCATCTATCGGCTGTCTGGCTAACCCGCCCTAAGCCGGGCTGCCTGCCCACGGGCCGGTGCATTTGTCGCCATATTCTGCTAACATACGATAGGCTTCATTTTCACCATACATTTGTACTCGCCTTTAGGTGCCGCCTGCCGGCGTGAGAAAGCTCAAACTATAGTTGTGTGCTCCAGGGTATATTGAGTGAAAAGGTGTGCTCAAATTATAGATGATATGTCGACTGCCGTCGCTAAACAGAAATATTTTTATTTTTTCATTTTTTATTTGTTTGATCTTTGAGTTTGATCCCAATGCCACTTCAATAGAATTTATTATGGATATCTTTGTTTTCATTTATCAGTTCTTATTTCACTGACTACGGAAACGGGGTACGTTCCTTACGTGTTTATATATATTTATTTTTTGACACACTTGAAACCTGATAATCAGAAGGATGTTTGTTGATGTTGAAAGCAGCAGAAATGCATTCCTCGTTCTTAGCATAGCAAACTGCCTTGATAATATTGAATTGTGATACTGGCCTGAGCCCCTCCAACTTTTCGGCCGGGGGGGGGGGGCGGGCTCGTAATGTATTTGAGCCCCCCCCCCCCCCAGCTGGAGGAATCGAAATCGGAAATCTACCAACCAGGGCTGCGGAGTCGATGGATTTTAGGGTGACTCCGACTCCGACTCCGACTCCGGCTTCAAAAATCGACTCCGACTCCTACTCCAACTCCGATTCCGACTCCGGATGGTTTTATTAAAATCCATACCATGATATTGAAGTTCATAATGGAGACGTTTTATCTTGCCTGAAACGATCCCTTGTGCGTTCCAAGACTTTGCGTTGCAAATATGCGTTAAAAATAGCATGCAGAATTACAAAGCAGGTTCTTGGGAATTCACCGTCTTCTGCTTGTCTCGCTGAAAACGTTCGTCCACAACAGCAAAATGGTCTTTTTTTTTCGACAAAATCTAATTTCGAGCGCAGTATCGTCAATCATATAGATGCAGTGCATGACGTTGAGCCGCTAGCGTTAACTCCGACTCCGGAGTCGGAGTCGGTAAGATTTTGGTGACTCCGACTCCGACTCCGGGCAGAAATGTCGACTCCGACCGACTCCAACTCCGACTCCGACTCCGACTCCGCAGCCCTGCTACCAACATAATTTCATAAATTCCGATACATAGGCGCGGGAACCGGGGGAGGGGGCAGTGGGGGAAGCTTGCCCCCACAACTCTGGGGCCGTGGGGGCGGTGCCCCACAACTTTTCATTAGACGCCCAGGAACCGTTGGGGCAGCTTGTCCTCCCCAAATTAGGGGTTATGGGTCACAAAGAAAGAAACATGGGTGGAACTTTTCCAGGGAAGTTGGTGGGGCAAAAAGTCGTCAAACCCACAATGTCCGATTATGAAGTTGAATAAAATGCCACACTGAATCAATACCTATCATTACAGATAAAATATTTTGCATTTAACTGACACAAAGCTCTTCAATACGAAAAAGATTAATTTGCAAAGCGACAAAGTCTTGGAAACCATCTAAAGTTGGTGGGGTAAAACACTTATTGGTGGGGAAAAATACCAAGTTGGTGAGGCAGCCGCCCCACCAACTGTATAGGAAGCTCCGCCCTTTGAAAGAAAGCATGTAAGTGCAAAATCCACCTCTTTCACTGGCTCAGCAACTCATTTGGCAGATTAAAACCTTATTCCAGGTTGCCAAAAATGTAGTTTCTTCACTCAGCTGAGACGGAATACCTCACTTTTTTGCAAATATTTTCTCTTTTTTTTTCGTTGCCAAGCTCTGAAAAATAAGTGGCCTAAAACCGATGAGAAAACTAGATTTGGGGGTACCCTAGGTTAGGTTTGCAAGATTTGCCCCCCCCCCCAACCAAAAAATCCTGGTGACGCCACTGCATGCCGGTCTCTAAGGACCCCACAGGACTTCTTCTGCCGGCCTAAGGACCCCTTGCCGGTCACTGAGACCCCCTGCCGGCTTGTAGAGAGTTCGCGTCAACAGCTCTAAAGGCCCCACACCCGTCTGTGACGGCTCCACACCACTCACCAGCGTCTATGAGGGCCCACAGCAACGCCTGTAAGGACCCTCATCGTCGCCTCTGAGAGAATCACACTAGCACCTCTGAGCGCCCACAACGGCACCTGCATGGCGGCCCCACACCGGTGCCTCTAAAGGCTCCTTACCGGCGGCTCTGAGGGCAGGGTGATTCTGAGCAGGGCTGCGGAGTCGGAGTCGGAGTCGGAGTCGGTCGGAGTCGACAGTTGTGACCGGAGTCGGAGTCGGAGTCGATGACTCGATTTTAGAAACCCGAGCCGGAGTCGGAGTCGGAGTCACCGAAAATCTGTCGACTCCGCAGACCTAGCAGGGCTGCGGAGTCAGAGTCGGAGTTGGAGTCGGTCGGAGTCGACAATTCTGCCCGGAGTCGGAGTCGGAGTCGGAGCTGGTTTTTGAAAGCCGGAGTCGGAGTCGGAGTCGCCGAAAATTCATCGACTCCGCAGCCCTGATTCTGAGGGTGCCACCGATAACCGAAGGCACCACACAAGCCCTTAGTGTCGCTGAGCTTTAATCCCATACCGGCCCTCCGAGGGCGCCACGTGCTCATTTCCCCACACCCCTCCCTCACACCGGGAGCGGGTAAACTGTGTTATACCTATAGCAACGATTTTACCACCGTTGTACGTTATGTATTTCTCAAAGTTGACTCAAGCTGGTGCAGTATAAAATCTGGCCTGCCAAACTTATGGCCAAGGTCAGGCTCAAATCAAAGCGGGATGACAAGAGCAGATGTTGTCAAATCGGTACTGTATCAGCAGAAACCATTCAGATGGCAAGGAAAATGCCGTGTATTGATGTTTAGATGTATAAAGGAAACAAGAAGGAAAAAAGTCCGGAAAAGGGAGGAAAGATCTTTTCTCGCTGCCTCAATGTTGAGGGGGCGCCGCCCCCTCGGCTCCCAAGTTGGGGGGGGGGGGGCAAGCGCCCCCGCTGCCCCCTGTTGCCGGGTCTATGCGCATGAACGTTCGCGAACTGTTCGTTGTTTGTTTACCAAAATTTGACCGATGACGTCACTTGTTCGCAAACACATTTGTTCGTGAACAGTTTGTTTATGTTTGTTTATTTGAAAAATTAAACAAACACCAAACTCTGAAAACAGGATGGAAAGGCTGGAAGCGGAAATCTACTTAAGGGATCAGAGGATTGATCAGCTGGAATCTGAAGTGCGCGCATGTCGTGAGTCATTACAGAAACGGGATGAGCAGTTAGACGACATTGAGCGCCACAGCCGCGCCGCAAACTTAGTCCTTCACTGCCAGAGATTTGTAAATAATCAGACATGATTGAGTTTTATTCACGATCGATGGCAACACAAGTCAAATTCCTAAAACCAATGGTTACGAGCGAGCGAGCGCAGCGAGCGAAGCGAAGTCTTTTCAATATAACGGAAAAATCTCAGTATGAGCGGCCCGGCCCGGCCCGGCCCGGCCCGGCCCGGCCCGGCCCGGCCCGGCCTGTAACGCTTTTGAGAGGCTTATATCTCAGCAACCGCTGGACCGAATGGCCTGCGGTCTTTTTTGCTGGGTAGCCCCATCCCTTCTACCCCGTAATTGACTACTTTTGATACATCTCAGTGACCGCCGTGGCACGTGCCACGTGAAAAGTCAAGGGTGTTCAAGCAGTTTTGCAAAAGTAATGATTTTGAGAGGCCCATATCTCTGCAGCGGCTTGAGCGGTTGTCTTCCGGTCATTTTTATACGGTAGCTGCATCCCTTCTACCAAAGGTCGGATACTCTTCATCTATGTGAGTGACCCCCACTGCACGTGCAAAATACAACAATAAGAGGTGCCAAATTTGTTCCCATTTCAGTAACTCGGTAATTTCTGGGGCGATTTCGCTGAAACTTGGCATACAGGTAGGCACCCACCAGGCAATACATTCCCATGTGTTGCGGTTAGGGTGCTACTGCACGTGCGCACGTGCAGGGGGCGTTTCCAGATCTCGAGAACGGCTGGGCCGATTGCGCTCAAATTTGGTACACGGCTGGGGACCGGTTAGTAGGGTGCCGTGCAAAAGTCATTTTGGATCCCGTTTGCACGTGCGCACGTGCAGAATGCCGCTTCCAGATCTCAGGAACGGCTGGGCCGATTGCGTTCAAATTTGGCACACCGCTAGCGACCGGTTAGAAGGGTGCTTTGCACAAGCCCGTTGGAAGTACCCTCTCGCCCTTCTGCACGTGCAGGGCTCACTATCTCGCTCGCTCGTTCTTCGCCCAAAAGGCGTTTTACTGGTTTTAGGAATTTGACTTGTGTTACCATCGATCGTGAATAAAACTCAAACTGCCAGAGATTTAGAACGAGGCGCGATGGTGAAGATATTAGTGAAATGGCGGTCAAAGCCATCGCTGTGCACGGTGAGAGTGTGCCCCCCCCCCCCTTGGTTAGGCTAGCGATGTCAAGTCCTTGGCTGTCGGGCCCCGGCCCCGGCGTGCGGTCCGCTCCCGGTGCGTGGGTGCGGGGCGCCGTCCTGCCGGTGGTCGACTCTGGCGGTTGTGTACCTTTTTGCCTGGCGGGGCGAGTCAGATAGTCTCCGGTGAGGTTTTCGCCATTGCACCACTAGTGGCCCTTTTTCAGAATTAGCACGCATTAATTCCCACATTACCTGAAAGTGGTGCAAGACATCACCGCATGATCAAGGACGTATTCCCTGCCAATGCAAAGAAACGAACTGCCCAAGGAGATTCGGTCCAACAGCGACAGGCCGCTCGGCCCAAGATTTGGCGCACGTTCGCACGGCTCGCCCGCCGGCCGGCCCAGGCCGCTCCGAACGCAAGTGTGGCGAGCCCGCCAGCCGACTGCGCTGCACTGACCGCCAGGACGCCCCAGGGCGTCACGTGACCGCATCTACAGCTGTTGCCAGCCACCGTTATCGGCCCCGGCCGGGCAGCAACTAAGGTCAGCGCGACGCGAACAATACAAACACATAGGCGCTTTTGACGTTAGATCTTAAGCCGACCACGGCACGTGCGGCTTGGACATCAAACGCGACAAGAAATCCGAAATCGGACAGTTTTTCTTGAGCACAGCGTTATGCCTACATGACATTTCAATAAGCAAATCTTATGGCAAAAGTCAAGCCACATTTAGGCGCACACCAGGTGACACCAGCTTCGACCCAGGTCAATGAGCTTACACTGAAAGAAAAAATGACACCCTGTACGGGGTATTGACGGTCATGTCAAAAATAACACCCGAGTGGGGTGTTTTGAGGGGAGTCGCTGAGCTATTATAAATGGGGTGTTTGGCGTACACCCCAGGAGAGTTTCGACGCATAGTGGGGAGTCGCAGCCCCTAAAGGGGGGTCAGCGCCGGCCCACATGGGGTTCTGTTAGACTCCAAGTGACACCCCTCAAATATCAGCCGTGCACCCCTTTTTGGACCCTAAGCACCCGACGGGGTGTCAAACACACAATTTAGGATGTTCAAAACAGCAGCTCAACTCCCCTGTTCTCCTGATATGACTCACCACGTTTCTCCCCACCTCCACGCGGGGATCCCGGGCTAATAGAATCAAGAGCCGCTCAGAGCATCTCTACTCATCTAAAATTTCACAAAATCCCAGGCGAGGAATTATTGCAGTTCGGATTTTTTGTTTTTGTTTTGTTGGGTTAGGCCCTTTCGGTCGACAAGACCATTGCAGAGCCGGAAGGATGATAGGATTTAGGGGGAGACATTGATCTGGGCAGGCACCCTAGTGAGTCGCCGGGGCTGAGCCCGTCCGAAGACAGGCCACCCAGCCCCAAGGCACTCACTGCACCCGGCTACGGGATGCGCTCCCTCAGGAGCAGCGGTGCCGCTCCAAGGGAGCAGCCCGCATGAGATAAAGTTGCCTGTCCAGCCCGGAGGGGGGTTGCGGCGTGGAGGAGAAGGATTTCAGTATCCTGAGGATAGAAGCACGGATAGGTGGAGTTCGGAACTTTCATTTTCATTTAGTTGAGTAGGTGCTTCGGCCCTTACAGGCCATTGCGCACCGTGTGTGTTCATATTATATTAGAAGTAGAGAGAGAAAGAGTGAATCAAAATAAGATGACCAGCCTACAATCGATGGAGTAGACCTATTTGAACGAGAAAAGAGAAGAGAAGTTGAAGTAACCCAGGATGATCGTCGCCTAAGACAACGTGTAATGACAATGTAATATCATGTGTTCGACAGTAATCTTGTATGTGTTGACGTTCTGTGATATATTTCCTACAATCTAGCAAGATGTGTTTGATGTCCAATACTACCATGCATTGATGGCAAGTAGGTCTTGGTTGGTGAGCAAATATAAAGTTATGAGTGAGATGGGTGTGTCCGATACGCATCCTTGTTAATACTTTTTCTTCTTTTCTGGAATGACGATTTGATGATGACCAATTACTTATGAGTGGCTTAATAATATGTAATTGTGTACCAGCTCCGTCTATGTCCCAAATGCGTTGCCAGTAGCGGTAGCAATGGTACGTAATGGAGGCACGAATGGAACAGTAGTCATATGGAGTTTCAGTTATGTGTTGCAGTGCTAGGGCCTGCTTGGCAAAGCGGTCTGCTGTCTCATTACCGCTAATTCCACTATGTCCAGGCACCCATAAAAATCTAATTTCGGCTTCTCTCTCGATGAGTTGTTGATGTATATCCAGTATTTTTAGGTGTATGTGCTGTGTGATATCTGGTCGTTGAAGACTTAAAATTGCTGACTTTGAGTCAGAGCAAATACATGCTTTTTGAATATTGTGCTGCTTAACAAGCTGAAGAGCATGGGATATTCCGTACAACTCTGCATAGTGTACGGTTAAATCGTTCTGTAGTCTCAACTTTGTTTCTGGAAGTGTGGAAGCAAAAATGCCGACGCCGACCGTGTTGTTTAACTTGGAGCCGTCCGTAAAAACAAATTGGAAGTGAGGAAAAGCCGCCTGGTACTCGAGAAATGTTTGCTGTATCTCATCTGCAGAAAAGGTGTGTTTTTTATTTGCGAGCAGAAAAGAAGTACTAAGAGGCCGAGCCGTCCAGGGGGATATGAAGAATTGGGGGAGGGGTGTGATGCTGGGTAATACATATCCAATGTCATCCTGGTACTTTTTAACCCTGGAGGCGATGGTGAGTCCCGTTCTTCTTTCGCATCTGCCAAGATAACTAAAGTGCAGCCTTGGCAGAACAGATGTTGATGCATAAGCGGCATGAGCTGGATGTTGTTTGATCTTTGTGTAATATCTGAGTGTAAGTTCTATCCTTCTGATGTGTAGTGGAAGAATGTGTGCCTCAACTTGCAATGAGTGGATGGGTGAGGTTCTCATTGCACCTAACGCTAATCTAATAAAGTTGTTTTGGACTGCCTCTAATTTGAGCAGGTTCGTTCGACTTCCTCCGGCGTAAACGACGGACCCGTACTCTATTATTGGTAAGACTATTGCTTTGTATAGGCGGAGCAGCGTAGATCGGTCGGCACCAGAAGCCGCGCCGGTAAGACAGCGAAAAAGATTAAGTCTTTTCTTGCATTTTATTTGTATGTGTCTTATGTGGTGAGTCATAGACAGCCTCCTGTCTAGAATTACTCCTAAAAACTTGAAGCTCGAGACAAGCGGGATAGGCACATCATTGAGCTGTGGATGATGCGTGAGTTCGAGTCTATTGTTTTTTGTGAATATCATAAAGGCCGATTTTGGTGCAGAAAATTCTAGGCCATTTGTTCTGGACCAGCGTTCGATTACATTTAGGGCACCCTGTAGCCGCTGTACGCCTATATCAGGGTCCCTAGATGTGCACCAAATAGCGCTATCGTCTGCAAATAAAGAGAAAGAAATATCGGAAGGAATGCCATCAAATAAATCGTCGATCATGATGTTGAATAGCGTTGGTGAGAGGCAACTGCCTTGAGGGAGGCCGTTTTCTAATTCGTGGTAAGTAGAAAAAATGGAACGGTGCTTGACTTGAAATCGCCTGTTTTGAGAAAGAAAGTTAAACAAGTAATGTGCCAGATGGCCCTTGATGCCAAGTCTTTGAAGTTTGGACAACAAAGCTGGCTTGTGGACCATATCAAAAGCATTCTTGATATCGAGAAATATTGCTGTGGTGTGTTCCTTATTTTTATATCCTTTTCGAATAGCACTTTCGAGTCGAACTAAATGATCTACTGGAGAGTGTTGCTTACGAAAACCGCATTGGTACTTGGAGAGTTTGCTATGCTTTTCGAGGAAGTACATGAGTCGCTTGGAAACCATTCTTTCTAACAGTTTTCCCAAACAACTACTCATGGCGATCGGACGATAACTATTTGGATCATAGCGAGCCTTTCCTGGTTTCAAGAGAGCGACAATTATACTGTTCTTCCAATCTTCTGGAAATAAGTGGCCAGAGAAGAGGTCATTAAATGTTTGAAGAATATAAAACCTTGAATGTTCTGAAAGATGGCGAAAAAATGAGTAGTGTAGTTTGTCGGGTCCAACAGACGTGTTCCCGGCTGAGTGTATCGCATCATTGAATTCATGCATTGTGAAAGGAGCATTATACTCTCCGTTGTTTTGTGAATTAAACATAGTAGGGTCAACTTCGAAAAGTTGACGTGCAGTGTTAAGAAAATCAGGACGGTATTTTGCGTTAGAACTGGTATGTGCAATAGTTTCTGCTAGACAATTTACCACATCCTGAGGATCACTAATCGTATCCCCAGTTCCCGGTAGCCTGAGCATAGGGAATGTTGCACTGGAATGTTTTCCGGAGAGGCGACGAACTAAAGTCCAAATCCTACTCAGTGGAGTAGAAGAAGTAAAAGACGAAAGAAAATGTTGCCAGGAGTCTCGCTTTGCTGTTTTAATAACTCTCTTTGCGTTTGCGCGTTCCCGATTTCGTCTTACCAATGCATCATCTGTGCGATGTCGCAGATAGGCGCGAAAAGCTCTTTTCCTTTTAGCTATGGCTTGACGGACAGCAGAGGTCCACCACGGCACAGCTTTACCTGTAGTGGGTGGTTTCGTAAGAGGAATGCATTGTTGTGCAGCTGATATGAGAGTTTCTGTTATATATGAAATTCCATCCTCTGGATGATCAAAACGTTCATGGTGTTGGAACTCGCATAACTCGGTGAATTTGAGCCAGTCTGCTCTGTCCAAATTCCACCGAGGAACGAACGAACCTATTCCAGGAACTGGAAAACAGAATCGAAGAGAAATGGGATAGTGATCACTATCATGTATGTCGCTATCAACAGTCCACTCGAACCAAGTGGCCAGGGACGGAGAAGAAATGGTCAAGTCAATGGCAGATTCGGTGTTGTGTGATAAGTGAAAGTGTGTTGGCTGATTGCAGTTTAACGTTACTAATCTATTCATGTCCAAGAAGTCTTCGACTATTTTCCCTCTGTGATCTAATGCCTGTTCATCCCACCATTCTGGACTGTGGGCATTAAAATCACCAAGTAGAAGAAATGGATTCTGAAACTGGTTGATGAGATGGTTGAGCTGTCTAAGAAGATCAGTGTCATCCAGATCCGGAGGAAGATAAAGACTACAAATATCGATGTTCCTGTCGTTGATATACATGGTACATGCAACGGCCTGTAAATCTGTTTGGATATCAAGTAAACTGTGTGTGTAATCATTTTGAATGTAAAGCGCCACACCACCGTGTCGGCGCTCTCCATAGAGCTCATCGTGTCTATATAATGTGTAATTAGAAAGTTGAAAATTATACTGATCGGTTGGTAAAAACCAAGTTTCTTGGAGAGCAATAAGTACCGGAGTAAGTACCGAGAAGAAGTTTTTTATTTCGGCCCACTTAGAAAGCAGGCCACGACAATTCCATTGCAGCATGGTGTGCGGATTCATGATTGTGGACGCGAAGATCTTCCACGGCTGGGCGAGGCCCAGCTCGACGCGCGGTTACGCCCCATCGCCACCCGAACCGGTGGTCGTGGCTGGCGATCTTTGGACTGTTCATCCGTGTGATGGGAGGGTTTTGGGCGAGCGCCACTCGACCTCTGGACTTTTATCCAGCCAGTGGAGCGGCTTGCTCCAACAGACTTTGCCTTCTGCGCAATCTCGGGAGAGACAGCTGGCTGGGAGTCAGGAGAGGACGGCATCTGTTCATCAGGGACTTCAGACGTCTGAGTAGTGCTCGTGGTGGCGATCGGTTCGGGGCACAGAGGCCGCAGCAGCTCCAGAGGAGGTAGCGCGGCGATCGGCTCAGTCTGTGTGCTGGAAGAGGTTGTCTGGGTGCTGGCAGCCTTAGCGTAAGTCCTACCGGGTGTTGGTGTTGTGGTTTGGGCTTCCACGCGACGGCGGGCCTCGGGGTAAGAGATGTCGGCTTTGGCTTTGAGTTCACAGATGCTTTTTTCTTTTTTCCAGGTCGGGCACTGAGAGGATGAGACTGTGTGGTCTGGGCTTCCGCAGTTGAGGCACGAGACAGGGGAAGTGCAGGGAGAACCCTCATGGGGAGCCTCACCACACTTGGGGCAGCGAGCAGTCTGCCGGCAGGAGGAGCTACCGTGTCCAAAGCGTTGACATTTGTAGCAGCGAAGCGGGTTCGGAACAAAGACTCTGACATCCTTCTTTAACCAGCCAATCACGATGCTTTCCGGCAGAGTGGTGAAGTCGAAAGTGAGGACTAACAGACTCGTGTCGCGTCGTTGGCCATCACGGAACGTGGTCAGACGTCGGATGTGGGTCACCCCGTCCCCTCTGAGCTCGGACAGGATCTCGTCTTCGGTCATGTGGCGGAGTTCGGGAGCGAAAATAGTTCCTTTGCAAGAGTTCCGAGCGTGGTGGAGCGAAATGGTGACCTTCTTGCCGCAGAAAGAAGTTGTCTTCAGGAGCGCCTTGGTGTGTTTGCGTGAGTTCGTTTTAATGATCAGAGTACCGTTCGCCGGTGCCTCGATGTCTACATCGCATGGACCGCATATGGCGTCTACCTGTTTTTGTGGCCAGAACACGTTGATCTTCCGGAAGGAAACTTCACTATCGCAAGGCTTAACGACCAGGTAAGAACCGTTCGAAGCTAAGTAAGGCTCGTCAGAAGAGCGATCAGCGGTGGCACAGGCAGGTGCGTAATCAAAGTTCGTGCGCGGGTCAGAGCTCCGGGAGTGATCGTTGGACGGGCGAGGGTCAGAGATCCGGGCGTGGTCGGCAGACAAGCGAGGGTCGGAGTCCAGGGCGGGGTCAGAGGTCGAGCAAAGGTCAGAGGTCCGGGCGTGGTCGGAGGACGAGCGAGGGTCAGTACCGGGTAGGGCAGCCGAGGGGTGGGTGGAGGAGGGAGGGGTAACGGTTGGGCGGGAGTCGGTTTCCATGGAGGCAGGAGCAGGGTCAGGAGAGGGATTCAAGACGGGAGGAGAGTCGGTGTCAGAGTCGGAGCAGGAATCAGAAAGCGGGCGCTGACGGCGCCGCTTCCCCATGATGGGGCAAACGGAAGTTGGGTGTAGGCAGTGAAGGGTCAAGGACGGGGACAGTTGGAATCAACGGGGAAGATGGGAGTGCGTGCGCGAGGAAAGAACTCAAACAGTACCCGTGAAATGCCAGCAATAGCAATATGCTAACGATCACCTTAGCCTGTGTGTTAAGTTCGGAACGAGAATCTCAGAGTAGGGGAGACCCGGGAGGTATGGGCCCCCTGGAGGTATGGGCCATCGCAGTTTTGAAGAAGTGTTGCGTATTTTTTCACATTTGACGGCGTTAACTGTTAGCAGCCATTTCATTATACAGCCCACGCGATTTTCAAAATCTTCCTCAGTCTTCTTTGGCAATGAGCGGTGATAAAGCGTTTTTGCCCTCTCCGAGTAAAATACGGTAAATACAGAAAATTCGTAATAAATTTGAGCCAGGCTCGTTTTTTATGTCAGACCATCGCTAACAACGTTTAGAGCATGGAAATTATGACTGGATAGACAATATGAAGCTTTCTTGCAAGATTATGAGCTGAGATGCTACGCACATGCTGGTGTCCTAGCCGGGAGGTTCGGGCCACCGACCCCCGTTGATCCTAAATAAATGAAAAGATGCTTTCATGGAATGAGCCCGTCAATAAGTTTTATTTTTGTCGCGCAGGGTCGAAAATTTAACTTCAAATTTCATTCGAACAGAAAAATATTATTGATCTTATATGATGGTGTATGATTGATTTTACCAAAATACATATGGGCCCAAGTGAACTCCATAAAGTAAGCTGTTGGCCGCTTATGCGGTTCCTGGGCTCTAGAGAGATCAAGGTAGATACCAGCCACGAGTATTCTTCTAATTGTCGAGAAAAGAATATGGAACATGGCACCGGCCCATACCTCCCGGGCCATGGCCCATACCTCCCGGTGTATTTTGATGGATCGAAAAAGCACATGATTTATTGAAAGTTATCTTGAGACAAAATAGTTGATCCCAGATGCATAATATCAGGCACACGTTGCAGGCGAAAGGCAATTTCACGTACACAAAGTGAAAAACCGGGTCTAGCCACTGCCCACTGGAAGAAAATTGCCTTTTCACAAAACCGGCCCATACCTCCCGGGTCTCCCCTATATTTATAACCGGTTGAGGAGTTACTCTTTCCGTTCGCGGCCTTGCGGCGCCCTGTAGTGTGCACAACCAACGTATGACACGGTTATCAGTCTAGATATCATCGTGATATAGTTGGCCACTCTACGCTATGCACGCTTTTGCCTTAGCTCCAAACATGCACCAGCCATTCGTGAAAAGCAGGTCCCGATTTTACCAACTTTAGTTTGCGCCATCTATCGGTAGGATTTGAAGCTCTACCTTCGGCCTACCGATATTATCCTTCGATACGGCGCACACAAAGCACGTTAATGAACACGAATGATGCTGCGAGAAAGGGCGTCTTCAACACCTTCGGTGAGGCTAAAATACATTCGCAGTTTACGCGTCCCGAAAAAAAATATAGCCGATCACAGCGCGGAGACGGCGCCCGGGGCAGATGGCAGCACCTGTGTTGGTGGAATGCAACACGGGGTGTCACTCCAGGATAATGACACCCCAGAGGGGTTTCAACGGGGGTGTCTCAGCGACACTCCAATTTTTTGGCCTGCAATTTTTGGGGAGTTC